TCTACTCTACTCTACTCTACTCTACTCTACTCTACTCTACTCTACTCTATTCTATTTTATTCTATAAGTGTTCCTGAAATACCATCCAAAGTGCCTTGATTACACAAAAGCACTAAAAAAATTTTCAATACTAAAACCCATATATGGAATCATTCTATGCAAACATTTAATTCAAACTTACCTCGTAAAGTCTTCATGTGCTGAACCGCCATTCTCAGAACAGTAAGTTTATCTAGCTTTCTGGACATAGCGTTGCATGTTGGCACTAAGGAAGCCAATTCATCAATAAAGCTGTTCATCTTATCACGTCGCCGTTTTTCAATCTGACTGTGAGCCTCTCTAAGAACCATGAAATAAAAATCATGACATTTTCAGTACTCAGTGTTATAATTCAAGTCTTATCTACAGTATTTGTAGGACATGGTTATGAATATTTGCAGTTTTTTATACATAAATATTTAATTTATCTGGAGTTGAGCAGCTAATACACAGTTAATAAACACATAAATTGCATTGGACTCAAAAGTTTCATCAAGTCTGAAACAAATTATGTAGTGAAAAATAAGCCTTGGATAACTCTGGTTTCCCACAGCATTCTCAACTAATCATGAGCAGATATTATATACTGCAAGAGGAACATTAATGTCTAATTGTGACCACGATTATTTCTATAAATCACATTTTAAACTATGACTTATTTTCCATGATTAATTTAGATCTTTTTTTTTAGATTAGAAAAATTCTTTTAAAACTGCTATCTAATGATTGGACATAATTAAGGGGGCTATTTTTAAAATAGATTTCCAATGAAAGCTATTTTAAGAGCTGATGATTGAAGACTGTTGTGCCCAATAAATAAATGCAAATAGAGTGTTTTCTTTTCAAACATAGTAATATAATCTCATATTGTCTACAAATATAAATTAGTACCAATAAATGTAAAAACTTTGTAAAAAAGAACAAGCATGAAACTCCATTTAGGAATGCATCTAAAAGATCTGCATTTATCATAACTGATAACTATAAAATTGTTATTACCTTACCTTGCATTTTTTATTCTGCCCTGTTGGTCTGTATATTCCAACCTAGTGGAAAGCAAAGTGACAGAAGTTAATTTGACAGCAGCTCTCTATTTATAATGCAGCAGAAGAAAGAAGGCATCAAATAAAGTGATACCCAAAGCCTCACTGAATACGTAGCACTAGATGCAATGTCACTGATATTATTTCAGATTCAGAAGGATGTAAAGTCCTACACTTAGGCAAGAAAAACCAAAAGTACACATACAGACTGGGTGAAACCAGGCTCAATAGCAGTAACCATGAGAGGGATCTTGGAGTCTTAGTGGACAACCAGCTAAATATGAGACAGCAATGTGCAGCAGCAGCCAAAAAAACTAATGCAATCCTAAATTGTATTAACAGAGGAATACAATCAAGATCAAGGGAGGTACTATAAAGCCTTAGTAAGACCACACCTAGAGCTACTGCATCCAGCTTTCTTCACCACATTACAAAAAAGATGTTGAGACTCTAGAAAAAGTACAGAGAAGAGCAACCAGGATGATTAGGGGACTGGAGACTAAAACATATGAAGAACAGTTACAGGAACTGGGCTTGGCTAGTCTAGTAAAGAGAAGGACCAGGGGAGACATGATAGCGGTCTTCCAATATCTGAGGGGCTGCCACAGAGAGGAAGGGGTCAAGCTATTTTCTAAAGCGCCTGTAGGCCAGACAAGGAATAATGGATGGAAACTGAACAAGGAGAGATTCAACCTGGAAATAAGGAGAAACTTTCTGACAGTGAGAACAATCAACCAATGAAACAGCTTGCCCTCGGAAGTTGTGGGAGCACTATCACTTGAGACTTTCAAGAAGAGATTGGACTGCCATTTGTCAGAAATGGTGTAGGGTCTCCTGTTTGGGCGGGGGTTTGGACTAGATGACCCACAAGGTCCCTTCCAACTCTGATTATCTGTTATCTGTTATATTTTTTTCACCAACATTACCATCTCTTTCTCACTGGGTATTCTATTAGAATCTGACACTCTAGTAATATTAATCTGGTCCTTTGAACATTCCTAGATTCCCAGAGATCCTAACTATAATCCACATGGAGCAAAACCATCCTTTTATCTCCTACTTCAGAATAACTAAAACATTATACTTTCGGAAAAGGTCTTTTTTTTGGGGGGGGGGGGGAAGCTTTTCCAAAATCCAATCCATTTGTTAATGGTGAACAAACAAATACCTTCCGTGTTGATCATCCTTATCTGTATCCATGCCTTCGCTATAAAATCAAAACAAAAGAAAAATGAACATGACACTAAATGAAGTTAAAAATTGTAACTTTTTATACCATGTTGGTAAAACACAAACATTCATATCATTGGAATCAAATGTTATGATACTGTGAATATATAAATTGTACTGGGAAATAAACTGTTGGGATGCCATGTATAGCCTTTTATTCCCAAAATAGCTAAACTTGTCCATACAGTTTAATACTCTGATGCATTCTTTTTATTAATTAAAACAAGGGAAAGCCAGGTTTAGCAATACCAGAGGAAATATATGGTTTTTTGTTTGTTTGAATAGTAAATTTTATAGATGTTTATCTTTCTCTCTTGTCAATATTCAGGCACCGGGATATTAAGCAGCACAAATAACAAGCTTTTGGACTCGTGCTGGAGCCCATCTCAGGGAACTTCTCTCACACCAGAAATGTATGCTTTAGGCTATTCTATGCATAGTATCTATATAGTGCCTGGCTGTATGCGGCTTTTCATTAGTTGATTGAGGTGTTGATGCATGTTGATTTTATCATTTATTATAATAGTCATTTTAATATAAAAATTGTTTGGAAATGCTGAATTGTTTATTCTTTTCAATTCATTGCTGCTCACCAACCCCCCAAGATTCCAACAACATAAAAATGATTTTTATAAACTTGCTTCTTTGAAATATCTTATTAAATTATATTTCCTCTGCAACACTTCAAAGTATCTTTTGGAATATGGCTTTAAAGACTAAATATAGTCCTCAGTCTAGCCCAAGTATTAGAAAATTGGGGGAGGGGGAAGCTAAAAAGCCCAATAATTCTTTTTTTGTTTTTGTTTTAAATAGCATGACTTTGGAAAATAGAATGGGGGGTCAAATGGATGAAAGGAAGTTAGAACAGAAATTAAATACATGGATAAATGTTCTGCTCTCAACAGTGTCTACCCACAATAATTTATTATAATTTATTAACCTCTTTTGTTTAATACTAAGTCTTTTAAAAAACAATTCAGAACATAAGAAAAACAGAAAAACCTGTTTCCTAGAGATTTCCTAGATATTGATAGAACAAATGTGAATGAAACACTGGAGGTTACATTAAAACTTACAGGGATGTGTGCAATTCCCCAAGTTACAGGTCCAGCGTTTTTTAAGCTAGGAAAGGATTTAGAAACTATTAGGAGCACAAAGCTAACAATTGAACTACAATCTACATTTGCTTAAACTGAAACTTTTTCTTTTCTTTGCACATGCTCCCAAGAGTTCACTTTTTTAAAGTATTGCATCAGGATTATAAAATTTAGTGTACTGAATCTATTTCATATTGTTATTATTTGAAGCACTTTTAAATAGTCAATTCTATAACAAGATTCCCCCATTTTAATATATATAATATATTTAATATATACACATTTTTTATACTTACTCAAAAGAAAACCCATCGAGCCTGAAAAGAAAAATAAATAAATTGTACACTGTATTATTAATAAAAATGACTATCTGCATACTGTCCATTTATTTTAATTTCCACTGTTAGCTGAGAAACTGCACCCTGAAGACATTTATTAAGAAATCCTACTGGATCCATGTGCATACCTAATGTGTGTGTGTGTGCATATATATATATGTCCAGACAAGTCTCCAAGAATCAGACGTGGCTGAATGTTATATTTATTATTATATAATGAATGCATATATAAAATAAAGTATCTGATATATTTTCATATTTTTTGTTCTTTAATAAAGGCATTTGAGATTGGGACCTCTTATACAAGGTCTGCAAAGCAAACTACTTATACATGACCAGTGGTGGAATTCAATTTTTTTACTACTGGTTCTGTAGGCGTGGCTTATTTGGTGGGTGTGGCTTGGTGGTCATGTGACCGGGTGGGCATGGCTTGGTGGTCATGTGACTGGGTGGGTGTGGCCAACTCAATGTCACTCACATCAAGGGGTGCCTCACCTGGCCCCTCCCCTCCCAGCCATTCCTTGTCACCCAGCCTCAACTTATCTATAATTCTGTAAAAATGTTGTTCACCTTTTTTGACTTATTATCTGCATACTACAGATGTACTTTCATGGACCACTGAAAGGAGGAAATGGCTCACATCTTTACTCAAGAGTGTGATAGGCAACAGGCTTTTAAGGGGCTGCCACAAAGAAGGGAGGGCAATATATTTTCAAAGAAGCAGAATGCAAACAAGAATCAATGGATGGAAACTAAACAGAGAGAAGCAACCTAAAACTAAGGAGAAACTTCCTGTGAGTGAGAACAATTAACCAGTGGAACTGATTTTCTCCAGAAGTTCTGGGTGCTCAATCACTAGAAGTTTTTAAGAAAAGACTGGACAGCCATTTCTCTGAAATGGTATAGGGTTCTCTCCAAGGTCCCTTCTAAGTATTACTCTGACACCTTTCCCAGGATTCCTCCTCAGTTTGGCATCCTCAGTTTTCTTGCCTGAGCTGGGGATTGGACTAGAAGACCTCCAAGGTCCCTTTCAACTCTTGTTAACACATGTGTATTTTATGCTCTGGACTATTGACCTTGAATGCATGTGAACCCTGAAAAATATGTGGTAGCCCTGGGCAAAAAAAGGGCAGAAAAATCACTCTAAGTGTAGGGACAGTGTAAAATATTAACACATGATAAATAATGGAACAATTAAAAATAATAGCACAGTTTTATCTCTTTCTCTCTTCCTATTTTTCTTTCTTTCTTTCTTTATCTCCCTTCCTCTTTCCTTCCTTCCTTCCTTCCTTCCTCCCTCCCTCCGTCCCTCCCTCCCTCTCTATCTCTCATACACACACACACACACACACACACACACAGAGCACTTAACAGACAAGGCTGGAGTAGATTCCCCCACCCCCTCTGTCAGCCAGTACTCCTTCTCACTCCAGCACTTTAACTCACAAGGGAAAAGCGATACTTGCAGCGTCCATGGGGAATCCTTGGAGAAGTTTTTAAAAAGGACCTGCTTCCAAAATGCATTTCTTTTACATTGCAAAAGTGCTCCAAGGTTCGATTCACCCCCACACCCTCTGTCAAACTGCACTCCTTCCCACTCCAGACACTTTAACTCACATGGGGAAAGTGATACTTTCAGGGTCCATGCCTTTCTTCCTTCCCCCGGGAAGAAAGAGGACGTGGGGAACGGAAAGCTAGGAGAGTGATTGCAAGTGAGTGACTGGGCGACCGGATTGAGGGTGTGGCCAGCCAGGGATCGCCACCGGTTCAGCGACCCATGCCAAATAACCGCTACTGGTTCACCCGAGGTGCGAACCGGTTGAATACCACCTCTGTACATGACCATATATTTACTTTGTATATTTTGGATTATGCTAGCACTTTGTACAGCTTGAAGAAGACCTTTGCTGAAAGTAAGGTGCAAATTTCTGAAACAGAAGTGCAGTACCAAGCCAAGGCATAGCTGAAGTGTGATATGGGTTGGAAACACTTACTGGTAATCAGTAGAACTTCCTTTCCTTTTTCTATTACAATCCATTCCTGAAGAGTTAAGAGAACTAGAGATCAAATCAGTGGGACCAGGTGACATAAAATCACTGATCGTAGAGGTAATGTCCATCCTTTGGTCAGCCATTGGATTGCCTGGAATTATAAAGAGGGAAAACACTGAAGGATTACATTAAAATGTCAGTTGTTTGTATAGTTATATATGCTCAGTTGATTTATTACTTCATCCTTTAGTATTCCTGGGCATCAAACGGGAAAGTAACCTGCTTCCCAAACCTGGGTAAATTACCCAAAATGGGGTAAAAGTGTTTTTTCTTTGGGTAATGACACACAAAAACATTACCCAATCAAAACAGGGACATATAAATTGATTTGAAGTGTTTTACCTATATTGTGTAAAAAGGTCTCTCTGATAAGCAGTTTGGGGTAACAAAGGAAAAAAATGGGGAAGCTCCGTACTAGAAGGAACAGTTAAGAAAAAGTCCCATGCTATATCATGCTCTCCTATTTGCTTTTGGAGGGACTCACAAACAAGAGACTATTTATGTCTCAAAGGTTCTAACTATGGACATTTGATTATATCTGCTAATGATCTCTTTTTTAACACTGTAATGGCTGATCCAGGGGCCATTCATAATTCAAAACAGACCTTGGGAAGCACATATATCAGTTAAGTCAAAATCAAATTCTCATGCCCTTGGGACAAATGCTAAATACTGGTGTACTTTATAAAAAAACAACAACAGGTGAATCTGGTAAGTGCTGCGTTATTCTTTCGATGCAATATTTTAGCTGTCACAAAATTATTTGCTAATGTTATTCCTATCATAATACAGTATTATGTGATCCAGGATGGAGACAAGGCTAAAGGTTACAGACTAGAAATCAACTGATTGTGCGTTCTAATTCTGCTTTAGTCACGGAAGCCAGCTGGATGACATTGGGCCGGTCCTTTTCTCTAACCCTAGGAAGAATCCTACAAAAGAAAGATTTTTGAAAAATGTTGCCAAGAAAATGATTTTGTCTATGGAGCTGCCAAGAGTTAAATCTGACTGAAACATAAATATAAATAATTAGGTAAACAAAAATATCTGTTGATAAACTGAAGCTAGGGTAACAATATTATGGTATGAAACAGTTCAGGATTTTAGTGCCTTATGAATTTACCGCAGTTGAAGTAGCATAACATGCTCATATACCTAAGAAGTGTGCCTAAAGCTCTTGGGTTACTCACTGAGTAATTATTTGATGTCTCTAATTAAGAAAGAAAAGACAAAACAACAACACACACAAAAAAACTTTTAAAGTTCTAAATAAATTTAAATGGAGAAAAAGTGGGGCAATACAATTAATTTAAATTAGTTTCAGCTAACATCTTAAAATGGGGACATTTAGAATTCTCCTTTTTGTGAAAGAAAAGATGATTACATAGCAGCGGTTAAGTTTGTGGCTTTGCTTACCTGTAAGCTTGATCTCTTTAATCCTAGAATCACTTTGCAAAGATGTGCTGTTCTACCGTTGCCAACGGCAAAGCAACCCAGTTACCTTAACTGTCCTTTCATTTCCTCCAGTCTTGCTCGTCAACACTTTCAAGGTGCCTCTGTCCTAAGAAAACAAATACCATGCTGTCAATTTACTACCACCATATCACTGGATACAATCTTTGACCTTTAAACAAACTAACAAACTAGAATTTTTCTCCATAAATTAAAGCAATCCATATGATCAAAAGTACAACAAGACTTTGGTCCAATTAAACGAAGCCTCAGTTAAGACTCCCATTGCATGTGAGTTTCACAGATCCATGTTAAATTAGAGTTACTTACATATTGGTTGCTTTTGCTGACTTGAAACTATGCCAATAAATCTACTAGCTCACTACTAATCTCTAGCTGGGCACTTTCCACAGCCAGAAAAAGAAAGAAAAGAAATAGAACTATCACGCTTACAAAACCTGTTCACGAAGGAGATTTTATTTTGCAATACAGAGGAGAGCCTGGGCATAGGACAACCTTTCTCAAATTTAGATTGGCATTTGTAGGCTCTTTTCTGCTGGTATTGGGCTCACATGACATAACTCACTGCATGGAATTAAAGGTGTAATATACAGAGCTGAGGTCTTTTCTATTAATACAAAGAGGTTTTCCTCTCTATTGCTTCCCACACTTAATCTGCCCCAAGGAAAAGACTATTCTTCTGGACAGACTGCAGAAGAAATTCCCTTCTTCCTGACCATCGACAGAGGAAAATAATCCAAGATAACCAAGTGTTTCATAAAGTAGATGCATATATTCAAACAATCAGATATATATGCTTAGACTCATACTGAAAAGCAACAAACCCAGGACTTTTTCCTAAAAGATGCTTTCAAGAGCTGGTTTTTTTTTTTTTCATATCCTAGTGTGTTTAGTGTGTTTGATATGCATCATGTATCTTGATGACACACAATCAATAAATATATTTGATATACATACAAACTATATGAAATGCTGACTGCATCTTACTGTAGAACAAAATTGCACAGTGTCAGATGAACTTATTTTTATTATCTTAGATCTGTACAAACATGGGATATTTATATACTTGTATATTTAATGGATTTATAAGTCCACCCAAATGAAACAACATGACTCCAGGTGGCCCACAACAAAAATAAACAATAAACAGAAGATATAGTAAAATCTTTGCTAGGAAATCCCTGTTTTTCCTTCCTCCAGTTTTGTTGAGAATGGTTTTAAAAAGATAAAGGCATGATTACTAAAATTTCCAAATTAAATGTTTCCCATTACTACCTGGGAAATGCCAAAAACACTTACATGAATAATTTTTAGAGGTAACCTTGGGCATCATTTTTAAAGAGATTAGCATTCCGTGCCTTGCATAATGCATATTTTAAAGGCATACACCCAGGCAGCTCAGTAACTTCATATGAATATTGCAAACCTGCAATGCTAACTGCATTCCATATTTACATACTGATACAAAATCTAAAGAACATTCCATTAAAATATGATCTAGCCTTGCGGCCAACACTATTTTCCACTACTTATACTACATTTAAACATCAGTTAATTCTAACCCTTCATTAGATTTTATCATATTGGATTTTAAAATAAGTATGATTGCTGCCAAGAAATACAAATTGAGCCTGTAAGCCTGACATTCTTACTTAAGCTTTACCACTTGTTTACTTGATACACCAATAAAGTAATGTATATATGCTGAATTGAATCCAATTTTTTTGTTCCGGGAAAGAAAAAAAAGGGCTCCAATCTGCTTAAATAAGCCTAACCCAGAAGAACTTTTAAACCATTATTTTCAAATATTGAACAGGAAGAACAATTTATTCCTATTTCCTTTTCCCCTTCAGGACCCTTAAATGTATTATTCTATCAAGTTGCTCAGTACAGGTAGTCAGAGTTAATGAACCCTTATTCACTACCAGTTCAAAATTATGACAGCATTGAACGAATGGTAGTTATGTGCAGGCTCCAAAGTTATAGCAATTGTAGCATCCCCACGGTTATGATCCAAAGTCAAGCTCTTGGCAACATGCCCCCACCTACGACCATACAGGCACTTGGATTCTCCCCACTTGTTTATCTCTCCCTCCGATCTTTGCCCTTTTGGCCGCCCTGGACTCTGCCAACTTTGCTGGCCCAGCTACCCTGCACGCCACTGGCCCTGCTCACGGGAAGAAGGTTAGCCATGGGAAGAAGAAGCAAAGAATGGTTAGGGGCAGCAAGGTTGGCAGAATCACTGGAGTGTAGGGCGGCAGGGAGTAGAGCACACGGCCAGCCATATGGCAGAGCAAACAGAGTGCAGGGCAGTCAAAGGGACAGATATGGGGAGGAGATAGGCAGGTTGAAGGGTTGAAAGAGGCAATTTCTACTGAGGAGGAAACATTTGAAGTGGAAGCAGTTCCTACTGAGGCTTGAAGTTGGGAGGGAATCAAGCCAGAAATAGCTTGGACTGGGATGGGTTCTCTCCTAATGGTGGAGTGGGATTCAGTTAATGAGACCAACTAGGACTGCTGGGATTGCAGCCACTAAGCAACATGAACACTTGATGTCATATTTTATGGCCACATTACTTAGCGAAAAAAATTCTGGTCCCAATTACTGATGTTAAAGAAGGATTACCTATACTCTCAAATAGAGTTCATGTGTAAGGCTGGCTGCAGAAGAAAGATTGCATCAATGAAAATCACCCTCCTTCATCCCCACTGTGTAAGAATGTCCAGCCTGCAGAGCTTACAGGCTCACATTTTTATTATTTAACAAATTTAACTCAAATATCAACTCACATAATCTCATTTTCCCTCTAAAAATTCCTTACAAACCTCAAGTATGCATAATGGATCTTAGCTACAATTTCAACATTTCATGTAAATTCTCACACAGCACATTCTCACAGTTCCAAGGTTCCACAGTTCCTTCTTTCCACCATTGTGCTAAAGTGATCCATGACATATATTGAGTGCATTGAGCTTTGGCCAAGGCCACACCACAAATGATCAGAGATTTGAATCTTTTTTCCTACAACTCCCAGAATTCCTAGTCATCACTGCAGGGAAAAACTATACCAACATTTAACTATTTTATTGCCACTCAAACTGAAATACCATATTTTTCAAAATCCAGTTTCAGGTAATCTCAAAATGTATTCTTTTCATGATTTGTAACTCGATAAGTTGTTTATAATCTCTGCTGTGGTTTATTTTAAATGAGGCAACAGCTGTCCGTTTTATTGTACTGTAATGAGATGAGATGCTGTGAATAGATTTATTCCCCTTGTTTACTGAAGCAGTATAAAAATACTCTAAAAATGAGGCAACATTTGCCTGCTGTAACAGATTGCAAAAATATCCTTAACTTTCCTCATGTTGTGACCAATGCTTGTTGCCAAGATACTTCCAAGGACATTCTCACACAAGAACACTGTTATTCTCTCCTTAAGTGCTTCTTCTTAAATGTTACCTTTTTTTGAGAGAGAAATAGATAAATAAAAGGCCAAGGCATATATATGCTGTCTTCCTCCTCCTTCCTTCCCCACATAGAAGGCAGTCAGTGGTTTGATTTGAAGCTTCTCCTTAGAGACGGCCTCTTTTCACAGAATCAGCTTAATCATGCAGCAAATCAGATCATAAGCGCCACAAGCATCAAAACTAGAGCCGCCCAGGGTTCAATTCAAGATGGGTGGCTATGTAAATGTGTTAAATAAATGAATAAAATAAACATCCCACTGGGCAAATCAAGGTCAGAACCACAACCATAGAAAGCCTGCCAAGACCTCTTCTGAGTAGTAGAATTTCAACAGGCGACATGTAGACCTCCCCTTCTGCCTACGAGAACATTCATTGTTGGCATCCAACAAGACCAAATTCTCAAGCCCCACTAACCATGAAAACAGTTATTTGTTAAATACTGTACCAGCAATGTCTGCGGGACAGCCTTTCAGAGAAGTAATTCAGCAGCAATGCTGAATTTCACTGTACGTACTGACATGAAGATGAAAAGTTGCATATATACAATGCAGATTTTTGTTTTCAACATGTTTTAAAATGTTGCCTAAGTGGAAAATGGTTAAGAAAAAATTTCCCAGGTCAGAGACCAGATACATGATGGACTGTCATGTATCATATTGTAAAGGCAGTACTCACATAACCACAGTAATTGGGACTAAAATTTTTGTCGCTAAGCGATGTGGACATCAAGCATAGTCACATGATCTTAGTGACAGCAATCCTGGAGCAGTCACCCCTTGCCATCAACTTTAAGTGAAAATTGTGGATCATTAACTGAAGACCTCACTGACTATGACTTGCAACTTCCTGCTGTCTTCCCATAAGCAAAGTCAAAGGGGAAACAGCTGGAAGATTTAAATCCTGGGCAGCACCTGGGTGTGTTGTGGTACAATGCAAGTGTATAAAGGTTAGGTGCTACTATACCAGCATGCACTACAAAGATCCTTATTAGAACCCTGCAAACTCAAGGAGGATTCCTTGGGGGGGGGAAGCAGCAGGAGTAACTTGCAAGCTTCCTTCTGGCTTCCTCATTGACTCTGCTTATGGGAAGCTGTCAGGGAATGTTGCAAATCGCAACCCCAGGATTGTGGGATGTTGCAATCATCATGTGGGAGCCAGATGCCAAGTGCCCAGATTGCAGTCACATGACTGCGAGGGAGGTGTGATGGATAGAACTTTAAGGACTTATCGTAGGTACCACTCATTCAGCACAATCGCAATTCTGAACAGTCACTGAATGAATGGCTATTAATTGAGGGCTACCTGTATAGGAAACAGCAAGTAGGACTGAAAGATAATGGTCTCTCCTACTAATTTCCAATTTACTATTCAAATGTGTAGCCAGAATCAAAGGCTTTTGTCAAAATAAGGAAAGCAGCAGCCACAGGGGCTTCAACCCTCCTGGACGTGTGTGCAACATTATGAAAAACATACAAAAAAGGAAGAACATTTGCATTGTGATGCCATTTTTGTCACAAATGCCCTCTCCTCGCTTCTGTATATATAGCATTTGGCCACCATGAATAACAGATATTCCACTACTATTGTTTAGGGAGGTACTATACAAACAGACT